CCCCCGCCGTTACAGAAGCTGCAACCACCGCGAGAGCATTTTGCGGCTGTGGCTGCGGCTGTGGTTGCGGTGGTTTGGGCTCGACCTCTGAGTCCGTGGGGGTGGAGGAGGAGGGAGCCGTGGCCGAGGAACGTCTGAAACTCCATCGCCTCTTCTCCTTAGGAGTCGCCGGAGATATCACGGCCGGAGTTATTCCACTCTCAGTCGGATTCTCTCCCTTCTGTTTGACTTTGTGATCTTTTTTTCCGGTCAAGAAACTGCGAAGCCACTTGCTTGTCTTCCCCATCGTTTCTTCCCCAAGAAAAACACCTCCTACATCAAGCAAAACGCCATTACAGAGAATAGAAAACTATTACAGAAACAGAAGAAGGAGACAGGTGTTCGAAGAGAAGGAAGAGGAGGAGTTATGAGAAGTAGCTTTCAGTGGTTAAAGATGGAAGAGTACCGTTCTAGTTTAAGGCAATGTCCTGAAACTCCTTAACTGTCTCTCCTTTAGACAGCCTAATACCACCTCCAATTAATATATTTTTTAAAATAACTTTTTTTTCCCCAACGAATGCTTGTGGATAATCAGATATTGGTGAATATAGATATATACACCCAATATAAATTTAATTTATATTTCAATTTCAGTAATAGAAAAACAGTATTTCTTATAATTTAAGCATTGGAGAGTTTCTTTGGTGTGATGATTTTATTAGGTGAAGAAAACAATAAGACCAATGAGATTTTAAACAGAACATGGAGGAAACTCCACAATTAAGTCATTGATAAGGCCAACTACTCAAATGCCAATCAATTGAGATTTAGATTCTTGAATTCCAAAACTACCCTTATTCACAGGTTTCATCGATCACTTCATGTACTATAAATCCTCTATTACAAGTGAAGAGATTTCAATTTCATTTGATCAAAAGTTTGTAAAGTTAATCTTGAAAAAATTGGTAAACTCATTGCCTGAGGGTAGTTTGGTAAATTCGGATGGACCGTTTGGCTTATGCCTGTGCGAGATGGGGATGGATCAGAGAGCCATGTGAAAATGGGCGAAGAGGGAACATGCAGAATCCGTGTGAAATACTTTATCACGATCTTTTAACATATTGTTTTCTTAATGGAGGTCTATGGATTTTAGTAGAACATGTAATGTTAAAGTATACAACAAATATATACATATATACATATATACACATATATATATATATATATAACAAATTACAAGGATATACATAGCCATATTGGTTGTGTCTGTGCGGTCCCACATAGAAATGTATGAGACAAGGATTGTGACACCCGTAACCCGTCTCCCGCTCACGAGTTGTGCCACATGGACGCTCAAACATATAATAAAATAGCGGGAATTTAAAAACATTTTATTTTATTACACACGCAGCGGAAAAACAAAGATATGTTTTACAAACCCACGTACAGTAGTATACACACCAACATAAGGACGGTAACTGTAATAAAATACAAAGTCAAGTCACCGCCCGTACAAGCCAACATAAGTCCAAAGAAAGAAAAGTACATGATCCAGTTAGCTCCTCACGCGTCACCAGTACCCTCGTCCTGCTGCTGCTAATACTGCTCCGTGCCTGAAACGTTGCATAACAACGTCCATAAGATACGTGCTTAGTGAGTACTTCGGGTTAGACCCGAAGATCATACTCAAATTGCAAATGGCCAAACACAATCAATATTATACACACACTAGATATAAGTGTATACATATATACACACGTCATGCCATGAAAACACAGTTCACTCAATCGCACAAATAATTCACTTATCACGCACACTCAGTCCGCATAATGTATCATCGGACATAACCGTCAAATCATCTCTATGTGCATCGCACACATAGGACACCACACCGGATCTGGTCTCACCAGTCCAGGACATATGTACACAAGTCATAGCTCGACCCATCGGGTCTCTCAGTAATAACCGTACCGTCAAATCATCTCCACGTGTGCATCACACACGTGGGTAAGGACGCTCCATGTGCAACGCACATCCCCCGCTCTCCTCGGCAATCGCCGGAACAATAAAACACGCCATCCAAATCCCTACTCCATAAAACATAATACATCAACCATCCCCTCTGATACCGATGTCACCTCTCGATACCAGAGCGCCAGGTGCCTCCTGATGAGGACATCTAGAGCATAGACGACATAACGGATGAGAGCTTGGACGAGGGAGCATACTCGGAGCTAGGAGCTGCACCGGAGCTAGGAGCTGCACCGGAGCTAGGATCTCGCCGGCCGTCCGCCACGGAGAAACTCATTGGACCCGAGCTCAGGTCTTTCTGAGTTCCTTCGCATAACCTCGTCGGGAGAATCGCTCAATCCCGAGTCACGGGTAAATGTATTGCCAGTCTCTGCCGGGAGAATCACTCAATCCCGATCCCGTTCCATAGCTAGTGGAACGTTGGCGCGGTTACTGTGTAACCGTAGGATTTCCTCAACCCCGTGATAGCCGAATCACTCAAGACTATCACGTGTATCATCGGCTCCAAGCTCTGCCCGTGGGCAACCAATCACAATCATGCCTCCTCAATATGAAACCCGACCCGGGTCGGAGATCATAAAGAGGAGATCTCAACAATGCAACCATCGGGATATCACCTCAAACCCGCTACAATCACACGCTCAACCTTATCCCAGCCCTCCGGAATAAAGTCTCACGCCATGCCAACTACCCGATTCCCCAATCACACGCATTCATATATCATTATACTTTAACCGGATATACACACGTCCTTACTTGTCATTTTGGTTATCTCGTTTCCTTTACATTCATTTTATTCTTTCATCCTCTGATCCGATCAAATTGGTTCCGACCATTTCGGATTACCCATTCAGCTCGTTCCGAAGGTTTTACTTACCGTACGTCGGTTTCATTCAAGTTTCATGAGGTTCGGGTAGGAAACGGGTCTAGGTAGGTCACGTATAGGGGTCGGTTGCATCGGATTCCGTTCGGTCCGAAAGAACGAACCAAAACGGGGAGACAGGGGTCCAGAACGGACGGTCTAGGACGGTCTAGTGGTCTGGTCCCTTCGGTCTGGCCGAAGCTGGAACGGACGTTCCGCGAAATGTGGAACGGACGTTCTAGGTACAGAACGGACGGTCCAGGTCCAGAACGGACGGTCTGGACTCGTCTTCTTCCTCCGAAACCCTGCGAACCCTAGAACGGACGGTCCATGCGTGGAACGTTCGGTCTAGGCGCACCAGGAACTTCGGGTTTCCAATTTTTGCACTAAACTCATCAAGTTATACATCAAAATGATCCCTAGAACATTAGGAATCCAAATCTAACACCAATTTCATGCAATTTTCACTCAAAGTAATCAAATATCCATTTTCAATTTGACTATCACTTTCGGGCATAATCTGAAACACTCACCTAATTCAAATTTGAGTTTTGGGCTTTGTTGGGGAGGTTCTCTAGTGTTGATTTCTGTGTTTATTTTGTTGATTTCGACTGGAATCGAAGCCCCAATCAAGGATTGAAGTTCCGGAAATTTTGAGAGAGTTTTGGGAGAGTGGGAGAGAGTTGAAGGAACGAATGGACGGAGAAATGCCGGGCCTAGGCGAGTTTCTCGCCTCCAGACGAAGCAGGAGGTGTCCACGGGCGAGAGAGGCGGCTGCATGGCGAAGCAGGAGGTGGCGGCGCGTGAGGGTCCGAGTACACGTCTTCAGACCGGACGGTCTGGCTAGCAGAACGGACGGTCTGCGTCCTCCCAGACCGGAAGGTCTGCTTCCCAGACCGGACGGTCTGACCCATTTTCGCCCGTTTTCCTCGCTCGTTTCGGTCCAATCCTTCGGGTCCACTCGGTTAGGGTCTAATTCAATATTTTAGGGCCATTCTTAAATACATTTTAAAGTTTTCTAAGATTCATTATCGGTTACGAATTCACGGGTTGTCACAAAGATGCTTATAGACTTATAGTGGACGACATGCAATAAAGTTGTAAAATAATTACTTTATATATAATACTCCACCCGTTTCAAAATATTTATTGTTTTAGATTATTTCATATTTTAAAAAAAAATAGAACAGTCACATATACCCTTATTTGATGATAAAAACAATGTTATCATTAATGATATATTGAAATTTGTTAGGGATAAAATTGAAAACTATTGTAAAAAAATATCTTGAAAATATAGAATGATAAATATTTTGAAACATGGAAAATAACCTAAAACTACAAATATTTTGAAAGGGAGAGAGTAATAATTTAATTGATGTTTGGGGGTAGAAAATAAGTTATTCGTTCTTCTAATATTGGTAAAATTTTAGATTCATGGTTATTTAGAAATTACGCAACAAATATTCACTCGAATTTTTTGTTGCTCTAATGGTTTTGTAAAAAAAAAACAGTCTTATCATATGCAATGTGTGTCTTTGCATGAATAGAGTTTATGCATTTGATCACATCCCATATTGGACAAAATTCTACAATTATAAAGATTTCATGTTTGTATTTGACTTGACCTTTGTGTTCGTGTACCATAAAAAAAACATTTTTTTTGTTATAAAGGAGGACCCCCTAAAATGTAGGACACCCTTTGACACCAAGACCCTAAAACAAGTCATCCTGCAACTTTTCTCATTCCAATATCCACTGAATATTATTCCCATGCACCATAGAAAATTTTTAAATATTAATTTATGGGTCCAATTACAAATTTCTCAAGGCAATCATGGGTAGGGGTCAATCTTTCGGTCTTGCATTATTATTTTCGGATTCACGATTTTTTGATTTTGGAATAAATATACTTATATAGTTTTAATATTCAATTTAAATTCGTTTTGATCAGTCATTTTGAGATATAACTAGAAATTGAATTAATTCAATTTAAAAAATTCATATTTAATCGAAATTTTAAAATTAAGTCTGATTTTCCATGGTTATCTTTTTTTTTTCAATTGGAGTTGAAAACTAGAATCGAAATTTATGCCTCCTAAATGTAGGTGTAGGAGACAAATTTAATTGCATATAATGTCTATATGAATACACCATCATACGATAATATATATATATATATATATATATATATATATATATATATATAACCGAAGTTATTGCATCAATTCAAAAGCAAACCAAACAATGTTAACATTCAGAGCACATATACATGACATTCACATGTTTTTTTAAAGGCAAAGCCCCTCAAAGGCAATAGACACGATTCCTCATTTACAGTTCTTGGATCTAAACAAACATAAATATTATTAAGAATGTCTTAAAATGCTAATTAAATAAATAAAAAATATCAAATTGTATTTGTACCGAACAAATAAATAAATTACAAAACTGCAGAAGCCAATCATCACAGAAGACTGCATCCCCCCGTAATGTAATATCAGTGATTAGTGCTCGGTGCATGAATTTCGATTCCATCTAATTATGGAGGCTAGTCATCATCATCATCATCATCATCATCATCATGTACATACAATAATAATAACTACTAGTATTATTATATTTTTCCTAATAATTATTATCTATATATATATATATATGTGACATATGTATGTATGTGTCGGTGCTTGCGTGAAGAGCTGGCAATTCACATGGAGTGTTGTATTAATTAATTTGACCAGGTCCATTATGTTTGATCGATGCATGGAATGGAAGCATCCCCCATTGATGTGTGTTGGGAGACTTTCTCCGTTATCGTTAATTGCGATATTAGGGCTTGAGATTACAAGGGGTTTATTTTCAATAACTTTAAACTAATTATATTTGAGCATTAACCTTTTATTATTCATGCTAATAATCGGATCTCTGATATATATGACTTTGAAGAAAATATTTGTCATATACAATCTAGTATATTTGGGGTTTCGATTTGGTTATTTTAATAAATGAATTTGATTTAGAATCTTTATACATATATGATATATATACATTCGGTTTTTAGTTTGGATTTACATCCATTCTATTTTTTTCAAAAAAAATTATATTTATGTTTTTAAGTTAGATCTGACACAAATATAATTAGGTGTTATTAAGTTGGTTGGGTTTTAAGTATTTGAACCCAATTATCCATCTCTGTACTAAGTAATATATAGGATGTAGCTTTAGGTACATTTTTCTGGATGATAATTAATTTATATAATAATAAGATGAAAATTATGTGAATATATATATATATATATATGGATGGACCACAAAGCCGTCTTGGTAATAAATGTTTACGATTCCGAAAAGAGTGAGCGGTCAAAATCTTACGTGGCTTTTTTTTTCGTTGTTGTAATAAACTCAATGGACGCGTAACTCTTGGATCATGTCGGGCTTCTTCTTTATTGTCATTAAATTCCACTTTCTATTTCAAGCTAACATCACTAACCTAATCTTCTCCCCTCCCTATGTGAAACCCTTTCCCCCAATATTTCTCAATCATCATTCGAAAAGCTTTTTTTGTTTTTTTTACATTCTATCTGCATGCAAACGTTGCACCAACTTTTTCTCCTTTATTTAAGGGACTATACATACATACACACACCATTTTACATGCGTATATATATTAGTTCAAATTTATCATTTAATTTCCATTATATTACGTGTGTTTTGGCCGTTCCTTGTAGACAAAAAATCACCCGAAACACATAAATCTAAGAGAAAAAATCGATCGATTTAGTGAAAGGATGAAGGGAACTTATTATAAGTATGAGAAGTTGAAAAAAAATAAAACCAAGACAACATTGTATTCCGTAAATCGAAATTTACCGACCGTAACTCCAACCAACGAATCACATATCCTAATTATAGGGTTTAATTTATTTATTATTGTTTTGGTCTCGTTTTTGTTTTTTCCTCTTCTTTTTTTAGGGCGAGGCTTTCACAAATGCATTTCGTAAATTAAGTCACAAAGGCATATGGTATTTTCTCCTTGATTTAAAAGTTTACGCTATGGGCCGATTTGATAGGGTATCGAAAATTGGGCTAAAATTTAAATATTTAGAAGTGAGGTTATAAATACTGTCAATGGGCTTCATCATTTCACATAGCACAAAGTTTTTGGGCCGATTACAAGTTAAGAAAATAATTATAATTTCGATTACGCTTGGATTTTATGCCAAGCAAATAAACATATTATTTAATCATATTACTTTTATAATTTTTTCTTTTGAATTTAAATTTTTTTAAAAAAATTATATGCGATTGGGTTGACTATCTTTGGATTCTAACAAGAAAAAGCAAGTAAACTTCTTACTTGTACTGGTTTAATTTTCTTTTTCATTTTAAAAAAAAAAGAAAAGCAAAGCATTAAAAACAAATAGCAAATCATTCTGATAATATATCGACCTCTTTTGTCACTCTTCACTCTCCAATTGCAACCGTTGACAACCTTCACTCCCTTCGCCATTAACTCTCTCTCTCTCCGAAATGGAGAAACCAGTACACGATCCATGGCGACCCGACCTGGTTTTCCGGCCGCCGGAAACGCCGCGAGAGCCGATGGAGTTCCTCTCCCGCTCCTGGAGCATCTCGGCGCTCGAGGTCTCCAAGGCTCTGAGTCCTTCGTCGCAGACTCACCCCTTCGTCTCCAAGTCCTCCGGCGGCGGCGGCGGCGTTTTACCGGAGGAGGAAGCAATCTCCGGCGGTGACAAGGAGGAGAACGGCGTCGTCGTCGTCCCCGGAAACCCTTTCTCTTTCGCTTCCTCCGAGACTTCTCAGATGGTCATGGAGCGTATCTTGTCTCAGTCTGTGAGTATCACTGCCCCACTCTTTTTTTTTTCAAAAAATAAAAAATAAACAGAGCATTAGCAGACAAAACGAACCGTTTTTTTTTCATGGGATGATGACAAATCTACTGTTCAATTTCTGTCACTTTCAAGTTCATCGGAATTTTCATCTGCTCTGCAAAAACTGTTACTCGGTAAAATTCAGACAGAAGAACAAGTTCAGTTTCCTCCTTTTGTTGTGTTCTTGAGATGATTCTTGATGAAAGCATCGGTCAATGGAGAGGATTTCACGCGCAATAATATAATTATTAATCGTATAACCAAAAGGAATTAAAAAAAAAGGCAAATCATCTCGCTTTGTTCTTTATACATCTAAACATTCTCCTTCTGGGCCCCTTTTTGATAATCACAAAGTTTGAATTTTTTTTTGTCTCTTCTTCTTCCTCCTCTGTATGCTTTTTCGCAGCAAGAACTGGAAGCGTCTCCAAGAACATCAGGTCGGCTCTCTCACAGCAGTGGTCCTCTCAACGGCTCCTTCACCGACAGCCCTCCTGTTTCCTCGCCGGAGGTCGACGACATTAAGGTGAAGTTGTCGTTTTCTGTCTGTATATTGTGTTCTGTCTCGCCGGCAAATTGACTGATTCCGGCAAGAAAACTCGCCGGAGATGATGATCTGAGTCGGCGAGGAGGTTTTCATTTTTGGGTTTTTGTCTTCTTTCTGCGATGACTGCGACACTGGAAATCGGGTGCACGAGTGATGGTGGAAAACAAAACAAAAAGTGAGAAACACACGAAATTCAGTAGCTTTCTCTTTATCCAACAAAACCCAGATTTCGTAATGACTTTCCCGATTTGTTTAGATAAAAAAAAAATTTTTCTTTTTTCAACGGGAGGGATTCGAGAACGCGATTATTTTAAGAAATCACGTTTCATTTCCCCTTTAACACACTCAACTGTTGTTTTACCCATTAGTGATGGAATTTCATATCAAACCCATCAACAAAGTGACGAAAAATATTCTTGCAAATTAAAACATTACATCATTAATCGATGAACATCACATCGAAGTCCCCTTTGGTGCACAAAGGAGGCAACTTTGCTTTTGTGTCTAATCTTCATTCATCACGCTACCAAGATTTTCCTTGGTTGTATTTTGTTTTATTGTTTGACCATTTGTGGTGAATACCAAATTTGGCTTATTATGAAAATTCCAGCCTTTTGCTTCACTAGTGCTTTTGTATGTTTGGTGTTGCCAATTTTGGATTTTTCCCCTTTGTCGATAAACATTTTTTTTGTTCATCGGATCTTATGATTATGCAAATGCAGCAGTTTTGCCAAGCAACAAACCCACTGAACCAGATTTATGAGTTCCGTACAACCGCGTCGACTCCGGGCCCCATCACCGCCACAGCCATTCAGTCCAAGACGGTGGGTCGATGGCTCAAGGACCGGAGGGAGAAGAAGAAAGAGGAGACGCGTGCCCACAACGCCCAAGTCCACGCCGCCGTCTCCGTCGAAATGATAAATTTGTTTGAAATTTTTTGGGTGTTGGTTAAAGTGGAGATTGTAATGCTAAAAAAGATAATATCCTTCATTTTTTTAATCATAAATATAATAAAAAATCACTATGCAGCGTTCGCGGCGGCGACCGCCGCCTCCTCGAGCTCCGGCAAGGACGAGCAGATGACCAAGACGGACATGGCCGTTCCCCCCGCCGCGACTCTGGTGGCCGCTCAGTGCGTGGAGGCTGCGGAAGTGATGGGAGCCGAGCGCGAGCACTTGGGCTCCGTTCTAAGCTCCGCCGTCAGAGTCCGCTCCGCCGGTGATATCATGACGTTGACCGCCGCAGCCGCCACAGGTTTAGTGCTTTGGCTCATCACTCATCATGGTTTCTTGTGCACTATCCGTCCGTAAAATGAAACTTTATCCGGATATTTATCGTGGGTGTGGCTCAAAATTCAAACTTGATCAAGAAAGTTTTTTTTTTGTTAACGGATTGATCAAGAAAGTTAGTGAACTTTATCAAAGGGTTTCACAAAAATCCAAACTTTATGAAGAATTCAACCATTTTCAGACAAACTTAGGTTCCAACACTATGTGTTTTTGTTCTTCTAATGCAGCGTTAAGAGGAGTGGCCACATTGAAGGCGAGGGCACTGAAGGAGGTGTGGAATATAGCGACGGTGATTCCGATGGACAGAGGAATGAGTTATGGAGGCTGCGTCAATCCTACCGATAACGGTAAGGATAACGGTGTCAATGGCAGCTCAAGCAGTAGCTACAGCGGTGAACTCGTCTTCGAGGACAACTTTTTGGGCGTTTGCAGCAGAGAATTGCTTGCTAGAGGCTGTGAACTCCTCAAACGCACTCGCAGAGGTAATGAAACCCCCAAAGCCTACTCCCAATTTTTTCATGTTTTTGTTTAAGTTTCAAGTGAAGTTGTTTTCTTGGATCTCTGAGTAATGTTATGAGTGTTGTTATGATTTCAGGTGATCTTCATTGGAAAATAGTTTCTGTTTACATCAACAGAACGAATCAGGTAGGAACCTTCAGATTTCGAGCAATTGACATTATTGATCTGATGAACTTTGGAGGGAAAGATTAAAGACAGGAAATTAGCAGTGAATCAGTGGAAATTAGGCCTTTTTACATGCGTGAATTTGATGTGATAAAAAGGAGGGTAAAAGGAGATTTCTCAGGCAGAAAAAGAAGAGAAAGCAGAATAATATAAAGCTAAAAGCATGTGTGATGAACTTTCCTCACTGTTTATCCATTTCTTTGAAACCCCCGTTTTCTTGTCCTTGTTTGATGATTGAAGGTTATATTGAAGATGAAGAGCAAACATGTTGCAGGGACCATCACCAAAAAGAAAAAGAGTAAGAAATCATTGCCTAAAACCCCGAAAATCTGTCTTAATCATGACAACGAACGCTTCTGCTTATGCATGTGATGTTCTCATATCATTAATATGTGAGCCGTGGATAAGAGAATTCAACAAGTTACTTGAGAAAGAAAGAAAGAACATGAAAGCTCGGGAACTAAAATAACCAAAGGATAAAAAAGAAGAGGGGTTTTATACGTTGTTCATTTGATTCATTCGATTATTTTGTGTTTCAGACGTCGTGCTTGGAGTGATAAAGGATGTACCGGCTTGGCCAGGCCGCCATCTTCTCGAAGGTGGAGAGGATTTCAGGTACTTTGCATTGAAAACGGTTTTTCGAGGCGTTGTGGAATTCGAATGCCGGAGCCAGAGGGAGTATGATTTGTGGACTCGAGGTGTGTCAAGGCTTCTTGCCATTGCAGCTGAGAGGAACAACATATATAGAATCTGAGTCATGTATGATCTGTACCTTTTTTAAACATTTGGGGTCAAACTGCAACTTGGAGAAAGTTTAGGGGTTACTTTTATAAGGTTTCCTTGTTTGGGGTCAACTTCTAAAATGCCCTCAATGTGCTATAACCACTTCTCCTCCTACCCTTCTCTTAAAAAAAAATATTCCAACATCCAATATACCATCTTTTCTGTTAGATTACCAAAATAACCTTTTAATATTATATTATTTTAAAATTTTAATTAAAAAATTCTCTCTCGAAAACATCGTTTCTCTTTCATCTTTTTTTTTGTTTTTTTTTGTTTTTTTAATTTCTCTCTCCTTCCACCATTAATGTCCACCAAGCTTTCTCTCTCTTGTCTTTTCCCTCTCTTCTTCTTTTTTTCTATTTTGTCTTAAAAATCCGACGAAATTAGATGAAATCAAGGGTAAATCAATGAGACAATTAGAAATAGATAAGCTACTGTCGAAATCCAATTTTTTTTTATTGCACATTGATGATTCTTATGGTTCTTTTTTCAGTTATTGTTATTTGCGTAGTTCTGTTGTTTGCAGTATGTTTTAGTCACAACCTATAATTCCTTCCGATGGAAGTGTTGTTTGATGTAATGAGAAACGAGATTGATAGATTATGAGGAGAGAACGATTAATTTGGAGTGATGAAAGAAACACCACAAATTTGTATAATAATTGTATGGTGTATTTGTATTATAATGTGTTACAAAATATTTGTACAATAATGTCAAAGAACTTTGATTAATGATGTTGTAATGTGTTTGTACAATATAGTGTTAAAACTTTTATATAATGTTGTGTCTGTATCATAATAATGTTGTATTATTAAAGATGGATTTTCGCATATATTTGACTCGTGTTACACGCTAAATAAATGAACTCGCATGAGCTAACCTTGTGACCTATTGTGACCAACATGTGACCATGTGACCGAAATGCAATTTTGCACTGTGTGACCATTGTGACCGATTGTGACTCGTGACCGAAATGTGTTGACAAATATATGTCAAATTTAAAATTTTAAGCTTCGTGGTGGTTTATCAGAGTCTATATATCAAATATATAGGATGCGTGAAAAAATTTAAAAATATTTGAAGACGTTTGTAGATGAAATATACCAAAATTATCAAAACTACTCATAAAACATTATGAAACATATAGAAACACATTTGGAAGAACAACTTTGAAACACAAAAACCATAAAAACCATGTTTTAATATTCAAAACAATATAAAATAGACTTATAAGAGATGTGTAACGATGTATAGTGATTAAATTAACAAAAATCGTATGGATCGAAGGTTGTGACCGATTGTGACCGACTGTGACCCATTGTGACCGAAATGTATTGTGGGGTCCACATGAAGAACTAGTCGGAATTTCATCTAATTTTTATGTTTTGTGGGTCCCACAATCATTATTTTTATTTTTTAATTTAAATGTAGGCTCCAGTTTGAATATTCAATCCTCTATAATTTTTCTCTTAACACTATATTTTTTTTCTAATTTTTAACCCCAAAGTTTTATCTATAACATTTTCAAACCAGATTTTTTTTGTAAAATATTAAAAAGTTCAGATTTTTTATAAACAAAATTCAACATATTTTGGTGTACTTCACTTTCACATATAATCATCTAAAAATGCAGAATTTGTTGTGAGCCCCATTTTTTCTCCACTGTAAATTTAACCCTATATATTTTTTCTCCAATATTTTAAGTCCAAAATTTTCCTTACAACAATTTCAGCCCAGATTTTTTAAAAAATATAAATAAGTTTAGATTTTTAATAAACAAAAACCAAAAATAAAAGTTCATAGTTGATTGCAAGAACACTATATTCACAAGCGTTATCATTTTTGTGGTAGTCTCTCCACATACTGAATGTTGAGTACATCGTCATATGAGAAAGCTTCTGATCCAGCCAAGAGATACGCCTTTGGAACGAGATGACATAACATATGTCAGCAATATCTAGATATCACCGTGTGACACTGTGACCATGTGATCATGTGACCGTGTGACTAAGTGACTGGGTGACCATGTGACCGTGTGACCATGTGATCATGTGACTATGTGACCATGTGATCATGTGACTATGTGACCATGTGACCATGTGACCATGTGACCATGTGACTATGTGACCATGTGTCATTGTGATCATGTGACCATGTGACCGTGTGATCATGTGGCTTTATAAACTTACAATATCTTTGATTCATATTCCGTGTGACAGAATCTCTTTCTAGAAACTTGGACTTCGTAATGTATCCAGTCCTGACTTCTAACCACTTTATGATTGTGACCGTGTGACCTTGTCTTTCGAATCCTCATGTTATCCATACATCCAAACATCGATCCATTTGGTATTTTGACCTATATGATTGTCCTAAATGATACTGTCACTGAAACTCACCAATTTAATCATAAACTCTCAAACCCAACATTTTATTTCAAAATCCATAAAAATTCAAAAATATCCAAAATCTTAATACTTTATCGGATAAATCTCGAAGCCACCTTCAATTTAATGGCAAGAAATCTCAAAATCAAACAAATCTGAAAGGAAATCGAAGTTTAATTACCATACGGTTTTCATTCTCATTCGAAGATTATGAGGAAGATGAATTTGAATCATATCATTTGCTCTCATCGTTACTTCTTCTTTCAATCTCTGATGTAGCCTAAGATTTTAATGGGTAAACAAAAATTAGGAGATAAATCAAGATTCAAAGGACAAATCGAAGAGAATGAGGAGATTTCGGCGCTTTTGAGAGAGAACAAAAAAAATTAAAAAGAAAGATGAAAGTAAGAGAGAGAATAGATGAAGATGCGGAATGAAAAAGGCGAAAGAAAATAAAAGAGAGAGAAAATATTAATAAAATATTATATAAAATGAGGGACACTTGAGTCTTTACAATTTTATTTAGGGTTATATTTGTCCTTTGTAGTGTAAAAGATTTATTTTTTTCAATTTATTGTTTGAAGGATATAGTTAGAAGTCGAAGTAGCAGTTAGAAGGTATTCTAGCTATTTCCCCCTTCTAAACAACATTTGGATCGTCAAATGTGTCTTTTTTATATATATTTTCGTATTGGGTCCTTTAAATATGCATATATATATATATATATATATATATATATAGAGAGAGAGAGACAAATATGTGGATGTGAATGAGTTATTAAGTTGTTAAATTATTGAGAGATGCAATTAATAAGAGAGAGTGCAGAATCTCACTTTTTTTTTTTTTGTATTCATTGAAATTGAATGAAAATAAGAATTGGGATGTGGTAAAAATGTAGAATCTATCATCTGGGGGCTGTAAAATGAATGTGAAGAGATTTACCTCCGCACTATCAAATTAGAGATGTGTTGTATATTGTGAAGTTGATTTTCGTCTCATTGTTGAAGATGATTACCATGTTCTCTATTTTGTTTGATGTTATCTTTATTTAGAACAGGTGCAAATACTATAGTGGCTTAAAAAAAAGTTTAAATCCTCCATATCAACATATGTATTTCATAGTCCCTTTTATGGATTATGTGAAAGAGAAAAGTATTGAGGTAAAATTTACACAAATATTAATGAATTTTTAAATGGGTTAATCTTAAAAAAACCCCAACTTTAACATTGTTCATATGAAATCCTAAACTTGTAATCTTCCGTAAAAAACCCTAAATTTGGTAAAAACTTCCACAAAAATTATAAACTTACTATTTTCTTTCATATAAAATCTTTAACTTGTTTGACCAAAAATTTTATTGACGTGACATGTCGTATTACTAATATGGAACTGACTGAATGGACACATCGGTAACAGATCATCATTTTAAAAATTAAAATATAAATTTTTAATTTTTGGTCAAATATATATACATATATCTATATATATATCAAATATATATGCATATATATATATATATTTGTATATATAATAAGTTTGTAATTTAAAATTTTAAATATACAAATATATATATATATATACACCTATATACATACATACATACATACATATATATATATTTTTTTTATCAAATATCTATATATATATATATATTTGTATGTATATTAAGTTTGTGATTTAAAATTTTAAATATACAAATATTTTAATCAAATATATAAATTTACATATATATAAATCTATGTTAATCAAATGTATAAATTTACATATATATATATATATATATTTGTACATATATATTTTTATCAAATATTTTAATTTTTAAAATGATGACGTGACGCTAACGTGACAATAGTTAGCGCCATGTCAACAATCCATCGTGCCACGACAACAAAAAAATTTGGTCAAATAAGTCAAATTTTTTATATGAAAGAAAACGATAAGTTTGTGTGACACCCGTAATCTGTATCCTACTTATAGGCTCTGTCACGTGGACAAGTAAAATCAGAATTAAAAAATTTCGAAATATAAAATCGTGGAAAATTTAAAAACATTCATTTTAAATATAATATAGTGGAAGACGTTATGAAATACATGAGTACGTTTACATACGTACACGAAGATACCAATACATATATAATATGAGTGGTTAAAGGTAAAATACAAAAGTTCGAAGGTCACCACTTTTTTATTTTTGAAAATAAAATAAGTCCAAAATAATTATACATGATTTGATAGTCTAGTTGTCACCGGATTCCGCATCTGCCTCAATCACTACTGTTGTTCACGACCTAAAATGTTGCATAACAACGTCCTAAGCTACGTGCTTAGAGAGGAATCATAGTGTAACCCAAAATTTCTATTTTTATTGAAAATGACCAAGCAATATAGTCAATACTATACATATACATGCGACGAGATATATCAATCAAATCAATCATCGTTAAATCAATCAGAAATATTAAACAAAATCGTTCAATCGTCTCTACGTGTATATCACACGTAGATAAATACAACAACTCATTTATGCCATGTTGAACACGAGGCACAATAGTACAAGCAAGATCGTTTGCGAAGACTTCAAGTGATCTTCATACTCCTCATCGGTCACCGATATCACGGATCTCAGTACCGGTCATCCCCATACCCACTCTAGGTATCGATCCCCGATACCGCCAACTGTCGGGCGAAGCAACAT